TAGCCGTAGTGCCGGTAGTCGTGGCCGCACATGCCCTCGACGCCTTCGCCGTCGCAGCCCGAGCAGGAGCCGTAGCCGTAGCGGAACGGCGTGCGCCGTGTGTCCAGCCAGGACCCCGACGGGTCGTACCAGGTGGAGTTGAGGTTGAAGTAGGACTCTCTTCCGGAAGAGTAAATCATGTCTGAGCTGCAGGGATCAACCTGAAATGCACGGGGGCAGATAGGAGACCTCTTGCATTTCCATCCCCTCTATTTCCATTTAGCTTCCCCCAAAGCGGCCCTGCTCATCTTCAGAGCCTGGGTGTGAAGGCAGCTCTTGATGCTGCCCAAAGCTGCCCAGCTCTGTCTGAACCCTCCTCCTGACCTTATCCATGGCTGTTTTGTCCCTGGAGCACAGAAAAGAGCTGGCACCCTTTGGCACACAGTGACCACACTGTGGGTCCCCCATCTCAGTCCCTGGCGGTTCCTCCCTCCACTTTGCCCATCATCACCCATCCCTTGTGCTCCAAGCACGATCCGAGGGCTGGTCACACACCCCCAACCACAGCATCCCGCACCCAGATGTCCGGAGCGACCTGCACTCCTCCAATGAGTCTCTTACCAGCTGGCGAGGGGAGGCAGGCGAGGGGAGCAGACTGAGCGCTCCAGGGGACGGAGGCCTTTTATACGGTCTCAGGCCTTGCAGAGTGAAACACTCTGCAAGAACGAGGATTAAAGTATTTATTGACAGAACATGCCCTTCATGTGGATGCTGTTCCCAGCGCTTGGCATGCTCTGCCTGACTCACTGCTCCTGATAAGTATCTCCTAATTACGGCAAAGTTAGGGAGCAGGGCCCAAAGGGACTCGCATCGTTAAGCCACACATCAGCTACACGAGGCAGGTAATAACCAACTTATTCACTGCCTTCAGAGCACTGAGCCGCCGAGCGCCCCGTGAGTCAGGGAGAGCCATGTGCCTGGTGCTAATATCCCGTCTTAGCTAGGACATCACGTTGTGCTAGAGCTGTAACATCCATCCGTGGGGATGTCCCGTCATCCTATAGCACTAAAGTCCTCCCCTAGGTGGGTTGTCCCATCATCCTGACGTGCTAATGTCCCATTTTAGATGGAACAGCACGTGTTCCTAGAGTGCTAACATCCCATCTTAGGTGAGACATCCCATCATCCTAGAGCTCTAATGTCCAGTCTTACGTAGGATGTGCTACTGTCCTAGACCGCTAGCATCCCATCTTATGTGGGACATCCTGTCATCCTACAGCACTAAGGTCCCATTTTAGGTGGGATGTCCCATCATCCTGGTGCTCTAACGTCCCACCTTAGGTGTTCCCATCTCCTGCCCCTCGGAAGCCTTTCCAGGTACTTGGAGCACAGAGAGAGAACTGGGAAGGGGCCACGGAGTCACCAGGATCAATATGTGTCATGACACTCCCTGCAGGAAAGAAGGACTGAAGCAGTTTGGGAAGCGGCAGTGGATGCTCATGCAATGCTGCCTTGCCAGAAAGGGCTCTGTGAACCTCCCCAGGGGCTCAGGGGAAGGAGACGTGGAGGAAATAGCCAGCAAAATAAGGATTTTTAAAGGCAGAGTTCCTCTGGATTTCCGTGCTGGCAGATTTCCCTCGGGTTGAGATTTGGGCTTCCCCCTCGCGGTGGGAAGCGCTGAGCGGAAGGTGCCTCTGGCACATGGACTCACCTCCCATGCTGGGACATGTGCTGGATTACTGGGATTAGCAATTAGGGAAACCCTCCTGGCTCAGTGCCTCGGGAGGGCACGAGCTGAAGTCCCTGAGGACGGAGGATAACTTTGGTGTTACTTTTGCAAAACTTCTTGTGGGAATTGTAATGGCTTCACACATGCAACACTGGGCAAAACTCAGGGTTTTTTAGGGGTGTTCAGGGGCAAAAGAAAAATCAAGCATCAACTTAGTTTTGTCAGCTTTATTCTGGAATACACGGGGAGGGAGAAAAGCCGCAGAGTCCCTGGTGCTCCCGTGGTCGTCGCGGGCGGCTCTTCTTCATTCCAGCTTTACCCCCGCGGCGCCGGGGGCAGCTCCAGGCGGTG